TCTCAAGCCTACAAAGGGTATGTAGGCCCGGGTTGAAATGTGCTGGGAACTGGCTAATATCACGAACAGGCCAGAGGGGCTTAAAGACAAGAATGTTGTCGTGATGGGCATTGGAAATACTGCCTGTGACACTGTTGTGGTGAGTGTGCGCGCCGGTCGGCTGAATCGACTTCACTTATTTAATGCAATCACCAGGAGCTCGCAGACTACGCCTCGAAAGTATATCTGTCACACAGACGAGGTGCGAAAATAATTCCTCGCATGAATCAAGACGGCCCTCTGGATGCTGTAATGTCGTGGCGTACTTCTCGTTTCGGCCACTGGTTGGAGCACTTCCTCCCGGGTATATTCAGCCTCCTCACCGAGTCTGTCATCAAGAAGAATTCGATGATTCTCGGGGAGCAGGATCCAGGCTGGGGGTTCGAGCCGTCGCCCAGTCTGAAACTCAGCCTAAGCGTCATCGTGGTCAACGATGATCTATTCTCGCGTCTCCGAGAAGGCCGTGCCGAGTCGGTTCGCGGGGTGACGCGCATCGTGGGACCGAAGTCCGTCCAGCTGGACGACGGGACAATCATCGAGGATGTGGACGTCATCGTCGCGGCTACCGGGTACCGGCCGGATTTCTCACTTCTGGCGGACCTGTCCCACACCCCGGCCCCGGATCCGAAGGCCCCGCCCCTCCCGAATTTGTACCAAAACATCTTTGCCATCGACTACCCGGATTCTCTCGCTTGCGTGAGCTACTGCACTGTCGGCGACAATGCGGCATCATATCGCGAGCTCCAGGCCATGGCTATCGCACAGGTGTGGGCGGGCAACTCGTCGTTGCCGTCCACGGGGCAGATGCGCCGCAGCACCGCAGCGTATCAAAAGTGGACTTGGAAAAGGTTTCGAGCCTTTGCCGGAGCGCCCCTCGGGTCTGGCCAACAGTATCCGTGGTTCAGATTCGTCCACGAGATGGCAGGCACCGGTATGTATGAGTACCTGGGCTGGGGTTGGAAAGGGTGGCAGTTCTGGTGGCAGGACCGGGAGTTCTACCGGCTGGTAGCGTGGGGGGCTTATTCGCCGCATATCTACCGCCTCTTCGAGACGGGCAAGCGGAAGACGTGGCCGGGAGCAAGGGAGGCCATCATCAAAGTCAACGAGGATAGAGACAAGATGTTTCCAAAGAAAGAGAAGAAAAAGACGGCTTGATCGAGAGTTGAAAGAACGGCTTGCCAGAGAGAAACAAAATGGCGCGGGATTGATTGGTGTTTGCGAGCGTGCCAACCAACCAAATAGATATCTTGAGTTTTTTTTGGTCGTGTTTGCTTCTTGTCTGTCGGGCAGATTTGCGCCAATGCGGTCGACGGGCTAACGAAACGGACGCAAGGTGTTTGGGCGAGACAGTGAGACCCGAGACACGGCAAAGCGGGCTGCCAGACCTGCATCAGGTTTCTTATCTGGCTTGATCCTGCAGTCTGGCCTGTCGACTTGCGATTGCAGGACCAGCTGGACCGATGTATTTGTTTACTGCGTGAGTACGCAAATCATAGACGAAGCAACCACTATCGTCTCGAGACGTAGGATCCGCTGGGCTAATGACACGCCACTTGGCACGATGGAGGAGCATTCCCGTCGCAAGAAACAGGGAAACGTCGTCGCCAGCACTACCTCGTACATGCAAGTGTCAACGATTGCAGTTCCTTCGTATGGGCAGCGTGATAGGTGTGTAAGGCCATGATGTGGATGGCTAACAGTGGCTGCGCATAGGTGCACTGGGGAGCCGTTCCGTGCAGCTAGCGGCGGGGATCAGTCTTCGGCAGACGTCGTGTGCTGTGTTGGTATTTTTGGAGACACGACTGACTGGCAAGTCCCGATGGGAAGAGACCCCCAAACCCCCGACGGGAAGCAGAGGCAGGCTTGACTGGGCTGACTTGTTGGCTGGCCTGGCAGCTGGCGGAAGGGCTTCTGTTGGTGTGGTCGCGATCCAGGGACTGCTCCTGCAGGCACACGGGGGTTTCCTGCAAGTAAAAGTGGCCAAGCAGATGAAGGGGTGTGAAGACCTGATGTGAATGAAGCTTGCAGCATATCAGAGGAGCCAATGGAGCCGGGGTTGAGCTTGCAGGTCAGTGTCAGGAAGTGGCTTGTGCATCGGGACCAACATTTTCCCGTTCCTGCCTAGCTGGAGCCCGGATCCACTGCCGACCGGGAGCCGGCTCTCGCTTAAAGGTACGTCCCGCGATGCCAAAGAGGTCCCCTTCGTGTTGGGGCGGCTGCCTGAGGCGCATTGAGACGACGGGTAATTTGTCAAAAAATTGTGTGAGGAACTTGAAGGCATTGGCGGGCATGGGGTTGACGGTTGACGGGTCGAAAAAGAGCAGAATATCTGCAGATGATGGTGACTTGTGACCGACGGCCGACGTTTTCCCATTTCCCGCGTCTCCATTCCACCCGAGCAGAATCTCAATTGCACCGGGCACCTCAGTCCACAGGTGCATCCCGTGTCCACAGTCCACTCTCAGTTGGGTATCCATAATGTGAATCCACGGTGGCCCTGGCGCAGGTGCTGGTGTCGCTGTTTCTTCGTTCCATGGATCATGGTTGAGACGTGGAAATTGGAGGTCGGTTTGATGCTTTCCTGGCTCTCAATGCGACCAGACGCCACACTCACGAACGCCTAATCAGAGCGCGTCTGCTGCCACACGCCAGCAGAACATGCTACCTGCCTTACTAACATTGAGGCGACTTAACTTCCAGAGGCACTCAAGGTAGGTAGGTGGGCAGTGGGATTCAGTAATGGCGGCAGCCAGAGGCATTCGTCAAAGAGTACAGCGAGTTAGCCAGCAGCTGGGCCGTCTTATTTTCGTCCCATTCCCAAAGCCCGAATACGTAAGTTTGCAGCTTGCTCGCATTGTTGACAGTACCTTAAAGGCAAGGACTTTATGCACATCTGCCACCAATGCACATGGGACACAGCACAGAAGGCGGCTCTGAAAAACTCAACCGGTGCGTGTCGTTTCACCCTGACGGTTCACCTGTCATTGTCGCAAGCCATCACGGACACCTGCGAATTGAATTGTTGGGTATCCGTACGCAGGTGGCAGAGCCCAGAGGGTATCGCCCAAACGCCCCAGATTGTTTCTTCCGTTGGCCCCCATTGCCGGCAAACACTATGAGAGTGGAGCAGACATGTTGGTAAGGCCATGCCGTGTACGAATTCAGAGCAGGATTAGATTATCGCGTAGTCCGCCGCCCAAGGCCCCAAGCACAGGCATGATAAAGGGGTCCTCAACTACCTTGCCTTCCAGGTAAGGTAACTAACGGATGGCTGGCTATGTATGGGAAGAGTGAGCATCTAGAACGACAAGTCGGGTCTTCCGTTGAACAACCGTTGCTTGTGTCCGTCTGCTATGCGATCTGTGAACCATCTGTGAACCACAGGGTCAACCGAGCAAATCTCCCCCGTCCTCATGAAATTCGAGTCTGTCGTCCCCAATCTCCAAGGGCCTCCTTTTGGCGGTTTTTTTTTCCTGATGCTTCATTATGACCTCCACTCCTAAGCCAATCAGAGGCTCTCAATGAAGGCAGCCCCGGTCTCTAATTCTCTTTCTCCATCCAATACCCCTGCCACCTACCCCACCCAAACCAAGCTAGCCAGACTGGGATTAGGACAGCTCAACCCCCTTTTGCTCCCAGCGAGAAGGGAACAGCAACGTGCTCGTCAACCACGCAGCGGCCAGCAGCAGGCCACCCTCCCAACCTTTACAGCACATGCTGGTCCCTGTACACAGACGATGCCACTGGAAACAGAAGGGCAGCTCGCTGCAGCATCTGCGCTGCCAGCACCACCTCATGCAGCGAACGGGAGCCGAAGCACAGGTGCAGCCGTCCAAGGTCCCAAGGTCCCTAGGTACCTAGGTAGTGGCGGCAGCAGCAGCAGCGTGAACGGGAGGAGGACTGGGGAGGAAAGGGAAGGGACGCTGCACCTGCTCTGCACTGTCTGCCACCGTGGGAGAAACGGGACGGGGTCGCACCGCACAGCCCAAATCTTTCCTGTCCTCGTCGCACCCCAAATTTCCCCTTCCACCTAAAACGTAGTCGTACCTTCGTCGTCCTACCTTACCTGACCGACCTACTCTACCTAACCTCACACCTTTCGCAACCACCACACTCTCTCTCCCTGAGGTTGTGATTCTTCCCTTCCCCTTCGACATCATCGATACTGCTTCGAGCATCGTCAGTATCTCTTCCCTCAGGGCTCGACAAATTCCCACCCCAATTGTCCTTTGCAGTCCATCGCCATCTCCTGACGTTGCTGCCCCCTTTCTCTCGTTAACCTTTTTCCCCTTCTGCGACACTCCTTGACACGCGACTACTTCGTAGACGTCCAGGTACGTACGTGTTTCCTTCACGATTTCTCTGCGAATACCTCTTGCCATGGACCACGAGGCAGGAGAATATCCCATCCCATCACCCCATCTCTCCTGCTCGCGCCATTGCTTCGACCGTCTGGCTTGATCTTGCTGCCGCGCGGTCTCCTCACGTCCTTCTGCCCCCGATCCTCCTCCTCCCTGTCCACCTCACCTCCTTACTCCATCTCTGTTTCCCCCGAGCCTCTTCCATCTTTGCGGCATAGCTAACTCTTTCTTCCGCTCCCCAGACTTTTCTTCTCGACCAATTCCTTCTCAACCTTGACTGCTCCCCGCGTATTCGATATGGGTAAGCCCCCTTCCTTCCCGGAGACGAAGATTGTGAGACTATGGCAAGGCGAGGCAAGAGGATACTGGATCAATCTGCGGCAAGCAACGACCACATGGCCTCGTTGGACTGTTTCTACCTCCCGCTCCGGATCGATTGAGTTTCAGGATCTCTCAACAACATCACCTCACTTCTCGTTACCCGACCACATCCGTTCCACCATCTACCATTTCTTGGTTTCCCCTTTTTTGGTCCTTTATTGGTAGACCAGAGATATCAACCTGCCCTACTCAGAGTACCCCAACAAAACGACATACACAATGATCTACAACTTGGACCAGCCCTCCAAGGACTGCAAGGGCAAGGGCAAGACCGTCGGGTCAAGAGATACGGACGCCGATTTCACAATCAAAAACAAACAGCAGTCAAACGCAGGATCGTCTCCCACGACAAAAGTTCAAATCGTTCGTTCCATGCTCGACGTGGGTAAACCCAACAGCGACGGACAGCCCGGTCCGTCGTCCGCTAGTCGGCTTTCACAACCTGGCAAAGAGAACGACGATCCCGCCAGACAAGTCTCTGAACGGTCACCGGGTTAGAGAAGATCCTCTTGCCTATGCCTTGCCAAACATACTTACCACTCGTTACTACGGTACGAGCATGAGCGCTGACGTGATTGCATAAATAGCCTCCGAAGGTTCTCCTGCTACCTCCCCGCCGCCCTCGGCGGCGCCGGCGTCGCCCCCCGCCGGCAAGCTTGTTTCTGCGAACGAGATCGAAGAAGCCATTTCTAACGCGTCCTTAGCTGGCGGTGTTGTGCCCCCTATGGCGGCGCCTTCCAGCGATCTTAGGAACATTGTTCGCCGCAAGCTGACGGGCTATGTCGGCTTCGCTAACCTGCCTAACCAATGGCACCGCAAGAGTGTCCGCAAGGGTTTCAACTTCAACGTCATGGTTGTTGGTAAGTCTCTTCTAGACAGCTTCGTTTCGTCTTGAACACTCTCTTACAAGTGGCGTACAGGTGAATCTGGCCTCGGAAAGTCCACCCTTGTGAACACCCTCTTCAACACTTCCCTCTACCCTCCCAAGGAGCGCAAGGGACCTAGCCTCGACATTATCCCGAAGACTGTTACCATTCAGTCCATCAGCGCCGACATTGAGGAGGCTGGCGTCCGCCTCCGTCTGACCGTCGTCGACACCCCCGGCTTTGGCGACTTCGTCAACAACGACGAGTCGTGGCGCCCGATTGTCGACAACATCGAGCAGCGTTACGACGCATACCTCGACGCCGAGAACAAGGTCAATCGCATGAACATCGTTGACAACCGCATCCATGCCTGTGTCTTCTTCATCCAGCCCACTGGCCACTCCCTGAAGCCTCTCGACATTGAGGTCATGCGTCGCCTTCACACCAAGGTCAACCTGATCCCCGTCATTGCTAAGGCTGACACCCTCACCGACGAGGAGATTGCCAACTTCAAGTCCAGAGTATGTCCCATTCAATCCCCCCCCTACAGCTCAAAATCTAACCTCTCCAGATTCTGTCCGACATCAAGTACCACGGTATCCAGATTTTCGAGGGCCCTCGCTACGAGCTCGATGATGAGGAGACCATTGCTGAGAACAACGAGATCATGTCCAAGGTCCCGTTTGCTGTTGTCGGTGCTACCAACGAGATCACCAACGCGGATGGACGCAAGGTTCGCGGCCGTTCATACCCCTGGGGTGTGATTGAGGTCGACAACGAGGAGCACTGCGACTTCGTCAAGCTTCGCCAGATGCTTATCCGCACCCACATGGAGGAGCTCAAGGAGCACACCAACAACAGCCTGTACGAGAACTACCGTACCGACAAGCTCATTGGCATGGGCGTGTCCCAGGACCCCAGCGTTTTCAAGGAGGTCAACCCCGCCGTCAAGCAGGAGGAGGAGCGCCACCTGCACGAGCAGAAGCTCGCCAAGATGGAGGCCGAGATGAAGATGGTCTTCCAGCAGAAGGTCGCCGAAAAGGAGAGCAAGCTGAAGCAGAGCGAAGAGGAGCTCTACTCACGCCACAGGGAGATGAAGGAGCAGCTCGAGCGCCAACGCATGGAGCTCGAGGAGAAGAAGCAAAGGGTCGAAAGCGGCCGGCCCATCGAGAAGGAAGGCAAGCGGAAGGGTTTCTCGCTCCGTTAAGACTTCTTTGCCGGTCTCTTGACGCCACTTGTTCGCATTCTTCTTTCTACGACCCATGTCTAAGTACCCATGATGCCCATACAATACCAGCACAACGCGCCTCTTTGTCGGTTCTCTTCTTGTTCTTTCTTATCACCCCTTTTTCTCTCGACCTCTTTTAATCACAACCCTCATCTAATCACTTACGGAAACCCAACATCACCAAAAAGTCTTTGCGAAGCAGTCGTGCAAGGGGTTTTGATGCCGACTATGGAGGGAAAGACGCGAAAGCAAACACGAGGAGTCATTGCTTCTGCGAGGCTTGATTCTGGCGATGAGGCGTTCTCGGGAACAGTAGTCCTACTTGCCGCATCCTATCATACTGTGGCGGACATGGGAGAGGAGGACCTCGGGGAGAAACATGGGGTCGGTTGGGCGAACACATTTGCGCTAGCAGAGTATCCTCGTGGTTTCATTTCTTTCGCAAAGACTTGCCACTCGGAATAGGGTTTTCTTATAATCTATGACGCCACGCTCAATACTCTTGCCGCCTTCTGGTGTCGAACCAGCTAATATCTCTCGCTGTGGACGCCCAATGTGGTGAGCGGGTAGAGGCACACGCTGGATGGAGGAGCCCACTTATGTCTAGCAAATTACCCCTTGATGTTGTATTTTACTCGGATGAGGTCACGGAGAGGGAGGGGTAGGAGACGGTCTGGCATGACAGGCGTCTTTACTTACTTGGCATTTGATTTCCTTGACGTCTACTCTCTTTGTTAGCTTAGTTCCTGTGTGGTTCGAAAAGGGTTGTTTCCCAGAATTTGTCTATCTTGCCGTGTCTATCGTCGTGATTCCTAAACCCTTCCAGGTCAATTAGCTATACCTGAGGTTAGTATTGTCAAGACGCTTTCCTCGTGTCCTTGCCTGTGCCTGACTGATGTCTCGTAGTTGACGCTCGTTGCCTTCCAATCCGCCTAAGAAAACCGAAGACCCTGAGTGCGATGAACATCTAGGGCAAAAACATTTAGCTGGGCGGAGCGTATTTCAACTACCATCGCGCCTGTATTCCCGGTGTCTCTACTCTCGTTTCTATCCTCGTGACCTCTTTTATCGTCGTATCTGCCATCGCTGTCTTTCTACCATTTTTTTACTACTTGACGTCTGGAAACTTCTCGTTGCAGGACATGAAAGTTTCAGGCAAAATGAGCAGTGTCTTTGCTAGAACTCTGCAGAATATGTTGACGACGACTAACACATCCCAAGTAGCACACACATGGTCAGCAATGTGGGGGTTGGCCTAGAAGCAAAGGCAGGTAACGGGCAACATGGTGAAGGGCAGAGTCTTTCATTTCCTCTACCAAAGATGATGTACATATAAGACTACGTCTAAGCCTTTACATTCGGGTCGTAGAAGCTCGGGGTCTATATCCTGTTGTACAATGCCGCCTGGACCCTTCCTCAGGGGCGATGCCACCACCACGTCCTTCATCCACCAACCAAACATCATTAACAAAGCGTCTACCGCCTCCTCAAGTACCAGTTAAAGGCAAGCTGGTTTGTCTCGTAAGAGAAGGGTGTGGGCACCTCGGCGAAACCACGACGGGCGACGGGGTGGCGGAGGTAGACGGCGGCGCAGATGTTCTGGTTCACCTCGAGGTAGCGAGGGATGAAGGCGAAGGGGGTCATGTAGCGGCGGGGTTCCCAGGGGGTCCAGTACGGCTTGGACTCGTCGATGGGGTTCTCGGCGTTGGTGCGGAGCAGGCTTGCGAGAGCCGTCTGCTCGGCCAGGGACAGGCCCTTGACAGCCTCGCGCACCTCGTCGCTGGTGATGAGCTCCTTGATGGTGTCCCTGGTCTCTTGTTTCTTGGCGCTGACCTTTTGCTCCGCCTTCTCTAACTCTTGCTGCTCCTGCTGCTGCTGCTCCTGCTCAGGGGAAATGATGGCCTCGACCTGGTTGCCCTCCAGCTTGAAGTCCTTGAGCATGGAGGAGAGGTGGTCAATGACGTTGTCGGGGCTGATGGTGGCGCTCTCGGCGGTGCGGCCGGCCTGAGAGAGGGCGCGCTTGACCTCGCTCGTGAAGGCGCGGAGCTGGCGCTTCTTGCGAGGGTTGAGGCCGTTGCCGTCGTAGAGGAGTGCCTTGGCGGAGCTGATGAGGCCCTTGAGCTGCTTCTTCTGCTGCGCAGCGCGCTGCTCCTCAGTGAGCTCCTCTGTGGCCTCGGCTGTCTCGCCCTCGCCCTCACCATCTGCTTCCTCGGCCTCGGCCTTGGCTGCAGACTCAGCCTCGACTTTCTCTTCGGAGGCCTCGGCTTCGGCCTCAGCCGGGGCTTCAGCAGCTGCTTCTGAGCTGTCGTTCTTGTTACGGTATTCCTCCCTCTTTGCAGCCCGGAGAGTTTCATAGTCTTCGCCGGCGAGCCACTTTGCGTGTAAGGGGGTCTTGGGTCGGCCAGTGGCATAGAGAACGGAGTCTACGTCGACTTGGAACATGTCGCCTGGGTTCAGGAGGTAGGCACCATAGCGCATCTGAAAAGAGGGGCGGTGTTAGTCGTCGTCAAGGCCGAGTCGAGTGTGTGCAACGCGACTGGGAAAGCTTACCGTCTTGCCGTTGACCTTGACGGCGCCGTGTGTGCAGAATTGCTTCGCCTGGAGGGTACTGCTGGCGAACATGGCACGGAAGATGGCCACGTCTAGTCTCCTCTCGAGCGGCGCAAACGCCATTTGCATGTAGGGCGTAATATGCCTAACGGGTTTGCCTAGGAGTTCTGCGAAGTCGTCCCTCCTGGCCTGGACAGGGTGGACATAAGGAAGACTGTCCTCTTTGTCTGAGATGATGCGCTGTTTGCGCTCCTTCTCGGAGCGGGAGAACGAGCCGGCGTTGACATCCAGGTCTCTGCGGCCGGAACCGCGGCCGCCAGCCTGTTCGGAGCCGTCGTACTTGGCGAGGTAGGCCGGGGGCATGTCAACGGCAGAGTAAAGGCGGCGAGAGAACATGCGAGACCAGTCGGACTCCTTGATGTTGGCGCCGTGGTAGCCTCGGGTGAGTGACTTGGCCGCCCATTTTTGCTGGAAATGAGTTTGCTTAAAGCGAAAAGGTTTGAGCCTTGTCATCAGCATGTTGTATAGATTATATTTGTTCCATGACTGGCGGACTTTCTGGCGGTAGAATAGTGGTCAGCGGTTTTTGTTTACAGCCAGGGTGTTGTGTGCGGCGTGGTATAGATAGAAGCATCGCATGAGGTAGAGGTCGAGGAGGGCGGCCTCCCAAGTTGTGTGTGTGCTTCAATTGACGCTCGTGCGAGGGGAATATGGTTTGTTTGGGGGCATACCATGGACTGAAGGCTGTACCACCTCGGCTTTCTTGCTCTCATCTTGGGCTAATTGTGGTGTCGACGGGGACGTGATCGCACTCGTAGGGCCGGAGGGATGGCGACAGCTTCAGGAGCACGAGACGTCGAGACCGAATTTTTGGTGATGGAACGGCATCTCCCGCACACAAGAAATCGGTACGTACCGCACATCCCACAACGCGCGCTTGAGGGGTGGAAGGCTCCCGTTGGCTTACCTAAGGCAGCAGCACAGTCTTGGGCTGTGTTTGGAGCAAGAGTCCCTGGATGGGGTGGTCCGGGTACGTACCGGCGCCTCTCGCGATTCACCCTTCACCTGCCACCCGTGTGGTCAATTTTTTCAGTCTCCCCACCTTACCAAGTGGGACTTGCTGCGGGCGGTGTGCATCGAATGCGCGCAACCTGCTGCGGCAGAAACTGGAGCTGTTGCTCGTGCATGCGAATTCTCGTCGCAAAATCCTCGCTGGGGAAACGGCCTGCTCGCTACTTTCTCGCGCTGCCAAATAAAATCCACACGAGAAACGAAGCAACTTTTCTTCAGCAACACAGCCTTGTTTCTCTCACTCACCCACGTCTCGAACCACGGTCGCCGAATCGCATTGGTCCGATTGTTAAACTGTAAGCTTTCTTTTTTTCCTGTCTCCGAATTACTCACGTTACCCTGCTGTCTGACTCTTTGGGGTCGAGGACCGTACCCCGCCGCATAATATTCTTCCTCCTTTCCCAGCCTCAATTCACCTTTCGCCGTGTTACTCATCCAGTCATACGCGACGGAGTCATTGTTTCCCGTCCGAGGACTTCTTTTTCGAGGAATTTCATCGTTAATTGTCCCTACTGCAGACTACTCTTTTCCAACTTGAATCTCGACTCGCCACACAATGAGCGCCGCCGAGGAAACCAAGCCCATCGAGGCTGTCGCCGCTGAGGCACCTGCCCAGGCTGAGGAGCCCGCGAAGGTCGAGGAACCTGCCAAGACCGAGGAGCCTGCGAAGACCGAGGCCGAGGCCAAGCCTGAAGAGAGCGAGGCGAAGCCCGAGGAGAAGAAGGAGGAGCCTGAGGTCCTCAAGACGACTGCAAAGATCGACGATAAGAACCACTCGAACAACGTCAAGTTTGATGCTTCGCTCCTCAAGGAGACAGATGACCCGGCGGAGATCCGCAAGCAGGTAAGGCGCTCTCTGCAAGGATGCCTGTCGTTGACAAACGAGCTAACGTTTTGACGAAAAGGTCGAGTTCTACCTGTCAGATAGCAACTTGCCCCATGACAAGTACCTGTGGGAGCTCACTGGTGGCTTCGAAAACAAGGCCATTCCCCTCAAGACCATCACCTCCTTCAAGCGCATGCGCCGCTTCCAGCCTTACTCCGCCGTTGTCGCTGCTCTTAAGGAGAGCCCCGCCCTCGTGATCGCTGGCGAGGAGGGAGAGGAGACGATCCAGCGCAAGCAGCCTTACACCCCTGGTAACGATAGGTTCAACGCTCGCTGCGTCTACGTCAAGGGCTTCGGCGACGAGGAGCCCTCTACTCAGTTCGACCTTGAGGCCTTCTTCACCAAGTTCGGCCCCATCAACTCTGTCCGTCTCCGCCGTACCCAGGAGAAGCTCTTCAAGGGCTCCGTGTTCGTCGAGTTCCCCGATGAGGAGGCCGCTCAGAAGTTCCTCGCCCTCGACCCCAAGCCCAAGTGGAAGGAGCACGACCTGAAGATCATGCCCAAGACCGAGTACGTCAAGGAGAAGAGCGCCCTCATCCACGCTGGCAAGCTCGAGCCCAACACGTCGCGCCGCTTTTTTGAGGGCAAGGATGGCAAGGATGGCAACCGCAGGGGTGGCCGTGGCGGCAACAACAACAAGGACAACTGGAGGGAGCGCCGCGACAACGACCAGAAGAACGGCTTCAGGGGAGGCCGTGGAGGTCGCGGTGGCCGTGGAGGTCGTGGCAGAGGCCGTGGCGGTGATCGCCGGGGTGGACGTGACAACGAGAACCGCAGGGATCCCAATGAGCGCGGCAACGACCGCAACGCGTATGTCTTCACCCCAAACTTGGCCGTTGACTATCTTACTAACCTCCATTACAGCGGCAAGCCTACCATTCAGGCCACGAACGACAAGGGCGAGCCCGTCGCGGAAGACAAGAACAGCAACGGCAAGCGCGCCCGTGAAGATGACGGAGCCGCTGCTCAGCCCGAGGCGAAGAAGGTCGACACCAAGACTGAGGTCGCCGCATAGGTTATGTGAGAAGAATGGAAACAACCTCGCGAACGGCACACTCTATCTGAAAAAAGAACGAGATACCACTTACAAAAGCACTCTATCGGGAATCGATTTATTTTGGCTTCACCTGCCCGTTCGACAAAAATGAAGGGCAAACGGTCTATGGCGTTCACGGAACTTGGCTTTAGGTAGCTGGCTTAGAGGTCTGGTTATTATGGAATAGCATGAGCATGTGGCCTTACTTCAATAACGCCTCACTGTGTGCCCTGTCTGGAGTCGCAAGTGCAAGAATGCCAGCTGCTCTGCTAAGTAGACTTGCGACTCTTTTGCGGTGTCATCATAGTCAATCAAGATATTTGTACCACTTATACGCTGCTTGCCTCCTGTCAGGATCCACCCTTGATGATTGCGGAAATCAGCCAACTCCTTTTAGTTGGCGCATCCTTATTGATACTCGAGTTACGACAATAAGACCTTTCAACTTGCGATGAGAGGATTCTCAGCCAGCGGCAAATTGACTCCTCTTTCTCAGCCGCTCCCCAAACACCCACAATAGAATGGGGCCAGGCAAACCAATACCGACGGCAATCAATGCCAGCAGCGTGTTCCCCCATCCATAGTCCAGCCTATGGTACAAAGCCGGTGCAAATAACGGAAACCCAAACCCAGCAACGCTTCTCAGCACCATGACCGAGCCGATGGCAGACGCGGCGTACCTCGTATACGTATCGACTAAGAACGCCTGAATGCCCTGGAACCCTACAATGACGCCCGCGCTGAACAGCACCGCGCCAAGGTTGGGTAGGATCCAATGGGCCTTGTACTGCGCAGACCATCCGTATATCAGCAACCCAACAGGCACGAGAACCGCCCCCGGAACCATCATCGGCACGCGAAACTCTGGCTTCCCAGGCCCGCCGTCGGGGACATAGCGCTTCTTGAGAGCGATGTAGACGCGGTCCTGGAACCTGGCGCATGTCTGGGCCCCGAGGAAGAAGCCGAGGCCAAGCGAGATGTAGTTCAGCCCGCTGATGCCGGTCAACTCTCCATACCTTGTCGTCCAGAGGGCCGAGAAGGTGGAGAGGACGAGGTACATGATGCCATAAAGGTACATCATGTACACGGCCAACGCCTGGATGATGACCTGCGTGCCGAAGAGGCGGAAGGGGCGTGTGAGAGCACCAGCGAGGGCGCGAATGACGGTGCGGTCTGGGTTGTCGAACTCGGTGCGCAGGGCGGTGTTGCCCGTCTCCTTGACGAGGCGGTTCTTGATGCGGACCAGAAGGACCGGGGCGCAAGTCTCCTGGAGCACGAACAAGCCGATCCCCTGGACGAGGCCCGCGAAGATGGTGGTGCTGTAGAAGATCCAGCGCCAGGTGGTCTCCTGCGTGATGAAGCCGCCCGCGATGGGGCCGATGGCCGGGCCCAGGAGGGGCGCGAGCGAGTAGATCGATATAGCCCGCCCGCGCTCCTCGGCGTTGAAGAGGTCTGCGAAGACGGCGCCGCCAACGGCCATGGGCGCCGAGCCGCCGAAGCCTGCGAGGAAGCGGAAGGCGATGAGTTAGGCTTTTGTGGTGGCGAGGCCGCAGCCGAGGTTGAAAGCCATGTAGAGCAGGGTTGTGAGCTGGAGGATGATGATGCGGCCGTACAGCTCGGAGAGAGGGCCCCAGATGAGGGGCCCGAGGGCGTAGGCGAGGACGAAGATGGAGAGGACGAGGATCTGTTCAAAGGCGGAAGGGATGGTAAGCTCGTGGGCTATCGCTTCCAGGGCGGGCGCGACCATGGATGAGGACACTGGCGAGAGGAGGGTGTAGAATGAGACTGTTGACGGTGATTTGTGAGTACATGGACGGTCATGTCCTGAGTTCAAGCCAACTTACCACAGAATACTGCTGCCCATTTCTTCTTTGAAGGCCAATTCTTGGGGCTACGGGGGTCGTTCGGTCCATCCCATGTGATGAGAATGGGCTCTTTCTTGTCTTCCGCAGCGACTGAGTCTTCTCCTGTTGAATGCCTATCGAGCTCAGGAGGGGCAGAGAAGACCTCAACTGAGGAGCGCGCATGCTCTACCACAGCTTCGTTTCCTTCTTGCTTCATTGATACGTGTAGGGTTTCTTCAGTCTTCAACTGCTCTGGGTTTTCTGGAGTTTCTTGTCCCAACACAATAGGTATGCAGCATTTGATAGAAACAAAGTGGCAAAGTGTTTTTGTCCGAATGACTCCAGCGTTGGTGGACGCATAAATGCAACAACATCAGAGGTGCATTGGAGGGAGACTTTTCACCAGCGGAGAAACAGACCCTGAGACAAGACTTTCAATTATTGCCCAAAAGTGATCAAACATGCGGCCATGATCCTTCGTGAAGGTACCCTAGACATATCTCATCCTGTTGACACCCTTCGGCGGGCAACTCCGTCCATCCCAATACACGTTTCGGCCGAATTGTCAATGCTTATCTTTTCCACTCTTTTAGCTCTAGGGCTGAAGGTATTCCGAAACCTATTATCGAGCTGATATAACGCTGACACAGCAACCCTTGTTTTTGCCGCGAGTCGTCTGCTCACGCTTCCGCGTGGAAGCTGCCCAGGTGTCAATGGATGCCGAATCACCCGAGGGAATCTTATTACTAGACGATTTTCCACTTGTCAAAGAGAGTTTCTCTAAGTATGTACTGAAGTGGGCGATTGCCGAGAAGTAAGAGTTGCGAGAGGGCCAGTGGGAGGTCGTTGCGATTCATTCTGAACCGTGCGCAAGAAACTTCAGGGACTAAGCTCGTAGACCGACCCTTCGTCCGATTCATTTATCTCTACTTCGTATTAACCACTTAAAGCTTTTTGTACAGAAACGCGAGCTTTGTAGTGAGAGTGGAAGCATACCTTCCTCGTCACGAGTGTCGTCGTTGTCTTTACAGAGCCCGAAACAAGGAGAGTTCAAGTCAAAGCCGTGGATACTGAATACTGAATAGCCGTACACTCGGCTACTATCTCTTGATAAGTTCTAGCTTTACAGATGACGGCTCATACATGTGAACAGTCATGACAGCATACGTGTTGTTGACCACTCTAAGCGTTCGTTTACGCGCGTCACCCATGCTTTCCCCAGCATCAGGAATAACTTCAATCCTATGCTTGAGCAAGATTGCCGCAAGCGCTGCCACAAAGCCCACCTGAGAGAACCTTTTCCCGGGGCAGATACGCTTGCCGTCACTCCACGGTAGGAATGCGCCCTCAGGGGGGGCCCGGAGCTGCTCGTTTTCCAGCCCTGCAAGTGATTGTGATGAAGTGATCCAACGGCTTGGTCTGAATGATTTCGCATCCGGGCCCCAAACTGGCTTGTGTATTTGAATGCTGGGCATGTTAACGTAGACATTGACACTTGGCGGGATATGTCGATCGCTCCCGCTGACGGGAAGTGTCGTGGACTCTGAACCGGTGCATTTCGGCAGCACAGTGACCGATGGAAAGAGCCGCAAGGTTTCATTCTGGAACCACCCTGTGAGGCCAAGTCAAACATAAGGCTCTATTGTGGCACTCACCATCACAGCTTGGCATCTCTTCAAGCGAGGGAACATTTCCATGAATGATTCTTCAGATTGCCAATCTGTCTTTTGGCCAAGGACTGACGTGATCTCTGCTGCCAGCCACTCTTGCTCTTTTGGAAGAGCTGCAAGGAGATAGAGCGCGAAAGTCAAGGTATGAGCGGACGACTCGTGCCCACCGAGTGAGTAAGTGAAGAGATTTCCACGGATCTCTGACTCTGTAAGACAATTTCGCTTCAAGCTCACCTCGGAACTCGCGTTCTCGGCCTCAATCTCGCCATTACTCTTAACCATGAAGCTTAGAAGATTATCCGTCTGAGTCCGTCTTCTTGTACCCTTTTCTTCGAGCTCCTCTTTACTAGAAGCAATCATCTCGTCGAGATATTGGCGCATTTCACGCGCGGAATCGCGAAAGTTGCTAATCCTGTGTGGCAAGACGGGCAGATCCAAGATCCACTTTGGCACCAGCCGGAGAATGAGCAAGTCCTTGAGACTGGTGTGAAGACAGTCCTTGTAGCTGCGTGAATGACCTTCTGGTATGTATTTTTCTGCGGCTTGGCGGAAGTCGTACTTGACACCGAAGCAAACACCTGTGAAAACGTGGAGATACACCTCTCGAACGTCCTCTACGGGGTCAATGATGCGACCGCTCGAGACTGAGAAATAGTGCTGGATCATCTGCTGCGTCTGCCTGACGGTTTCGGTCCAGACACGTCGATTGTTCCTGTCGCTCAGCGTAGAGACCGTGGCTTTGCGATGGCGAACCCAGTCCTCGCCATCTGACGAGACAAGACTCGTTCCAAGAAAATCGAGCACCTCTTTGACGATGGTTGTCAGCAAATATCCCTTCGAGGAAACTTTGAGAAAGCTTGGGTGTAGCTTACTGGCATAGTGACTTATCTTGGGGAACTCATTAGCACGTTTCCGTAACACCTCGTCAGCGACAGCAGGATCGCGTGTGTGTATTTCGATCTCTCTTGGAGTGGCATGAGCGAAGGTGTCGCCGAGCTTCTCATGGACTTGTGAGTCTCCATGAGCGCGGTCTACCCAGGTCCAATTTAGCGCATCGTGCTGAGTCCAGCTTCCCAGGCTGAGGGGCAGACGCTGGATAATCGGGGACAGCCGTTTATTGAAGATGATCCAAAATGGGTTGAATGGGCTGATGGGGCTCCATACCACTGGGATGCCAATGGTTTTGGCGATTCGAATATTTCGAATCAAGCACAACAGTGAGTATAGAGCATAACTAGCGCAAAGAAATACGATCACAATAGTAGAAGACATTGGTGATGTAGTAAGAAGCGAAGGGGAGAATGGTTGCTTCTGACTATCTCTCGATGCGTTCCAGCGTGCCCAGCGCAAATCTCTTTTGAAGCTGTGATCGTGCTTGTTTCGGTCGACAATGCGAGCTAGAGCTGGTCCCTTGTCCCATAGTTCTGATCCTGGTATGGAACCCGAGTCAACTTCTGTTTCCGAAAGTTGCGGGATGTCAAGCACGAGTTGCAGATGCGCAGGGGCCAAGCGGAACAAGGAACATACTTTCCAAATCTGCCGACTTGAAGTAAGTGCGTTGTGAGATGCGACGCCCTTGGTTTATAATGCTGGCAAACTCTACTCAACGTCACAATTCTGATCAGTCATATCATTTTGATCCACTTCCCGTTCAAAAGACGCAATTGCCAGGTTTCGAGACCGCCCCTCAAAGTATAATAAATTCAGGTGATGTTGGCGGACTTAATGGCTTTGAAATAAAGTTTGGGAAACTCCGAGGAAACGAAGATGGTCGCCGACGTCAGAAGCGAGATCCTTTGACCAAGTCCATCCTGTACTGCTGCCCGTTTACCACAGCCAATTGAGCTTCCTGTTTAGATTGGACGCACAGTGGCAGTACAAACATATTGTCTAGACTCTTTACCATATTGTTATCTGAAATCCTGAAGACATAGAGATCATGGAAAGTGAAGCGTTTTCAAATGGCATATCGATGTCTTACACAGCATGGCTCATAGTTGGCGCATTGAGTGCTATCCTCCTGAGACATATTGCCCTTGCGATACGGGGAGAGAGGATCATCGGGAAATTGGGCGGACATGCCCAAAAGTTCCAATCTTATACGCCTATCGGTAAGTCAATTATGTGTCTCATCTCAGTGAACCCAAGTATATCGTATTTGGCGACATGTGTCTAATGCTCAGTAGAATGGCTGTCTGGAATTCACTTCCTCTTGTCGATCACATCACACGCTTTGAGAGATCAGAACCTCAAATTCATGCACAACACATTCCGTCTGTCTGGCAAAAGAAAGAAAAATCCATACACTTTCGAGGTCAACATGCTTGGCTCACGCACGTTGTTTACTTCTGATCCCGAGAACATTCGAGCCATGTTAGCAACACAATTCAATGACTTCGGAAAAGGCGAAAGGTTCAGAAAAGACTGGTTTGATCTTATGGGGAACGGAATTTTTAACGTGGACGGAAGCGCCTGGCACGAGTCTCGCCAACGACTTCGTTCGCTCTTCACTCGCCAACGGGTCAGTGACCTCGCTTGTTTCGAGCGCCATGTTCAAGACATGATTCCCATGTTGGGCGGAGGCCGCACCGTCGATGTGAAGGACATCTTGAGTAGATTTGCACTTGATGTATCGGCGGACTTTTCCTTGGGACGACAGATCAATTCGCTGACCAGTCACCAAAATGACGAGTTTTTCGACGCCTTCGAACGTATCCGCCACATTCAATCCTTGATAGAACGATTGGGCCCTCTGAACTTTCTCGTCCCTCGACGCCAGTTTCGCCAGGACCTGGAGACTCTAAATGATTTTATGAAACCAACAATTGAAAAGGCAGTTTCTATGACTGCAGAAGAGCTCGAGGAGATGGATAAGACAGATCATGGCTGGACCCTTCTTCATGCATGCGCCTCTGTCTCCCGAGAAAAACGCTGGCTTCGAGACGAAATGGTTGCTATTCTCATGGCGGGCCGTGACACGACTGCTACAACCATGTCTTGGGCTTTTTATGAGCTAGCCAGGAACCCCGACGTCCTAGCTGACCTTCGGCGTGAAATTGAACTTTCGGTTGGCGTTGGCGACTCAGCTCGGGAGCCAACTTACAAAGACCTGAAGAGCATGTCTTTCGCTACACATATTCTCAACGAAACTCTGAGACTGTATCCGAATGCACCTTTCAACATCAGAGCAGCCGTCAAAGACACCAGCTTGCCACATGGCGGAGGTGCAGATGGGAATAGCCCAGTTGGTGTTCGCGCTGGCACTCAGGTCATCTATTCCACCCATGTTTTGCAGCTTCGAGAGGACCTCAATGCGTACGACTTCGCGCCGATTGATGAGTTCTGCCCTCGCCGCTGGGATTCGTGGACCCCGAAATCATGGACGTACATTCCGTTCAATGGCGGTCCTCGGATCTGTGTTGGACAACAGCTAGCTCTGACCGAGATGGCATATGTGTTAGTACGTGTATTCCAACGATACAAGAATGTGCAGTTAGGAGTCTCGCCGGGTCAAGTCCAATCAAATGAGTCGGGTTGGACAAGAAAAGGGTCAGAGCCTGAAGGGATAGAAAGATTTGTCGGCACACGACTGCGCATGGCGAGTGAAATTACTCTCTCTCCTAGAGGAAGTGTTGATTTGAGATTTATTGAGTGATGTTCAAGACCATTGTCCTTTTTCTTTTTTTCTTATCAACCTCGAAATCACAGTTCCCGAAAGAATTCTCTCGCCCCTCCCCATTTCTTCTATTATTTTATCTTCCTCTAGAATGGTCCCTAACATTAGCAATATCATTATCTTGTCTGTTGTCGTCTGTAATCACTTTCTGCCCGACTAACAAAATTCTTGTCAGAAGTGCACTAACGGTATTGATGAGCGTTTAACAGGTTCAGATTCACATCCTGTGACTTATACGAACGAACACATCAAGAATTATAGCAGTGCAGAAGCTGAAGTGATACGGGGCAATAAATATCAAGTGGGCTTTATATGAGATCTAGAAGTTATAAGCTACACCGGGAGTTCTCGGTGACTTTGCCTCGAAGAGCAATGTAGTTCCGACCACTCGAAATTCCACTCTCTCAAAAGCCGCTTCAAGAGGCTGAATAATGTCACCCGTACAGTCTCCTTCATTATGAAAGACGCCTGAGAAATTATAAACAGACATGAGCAGCTTTCCGAAAGTATTGTGCTTTACTCCAGAGCCGAGGACAGTGGCGCCAACAACGGCGCCGCCAGGTTTCAACAGTCGGCACAGGCGCGCGACTGCTTCTCCTTTACGGCACCCTTCTCCTGAGAGGCAATGAAGAAGCAACATGCAGGAAATGACGTCGAAACTCCCATTCCCTCCTGCATCAGACAAACGAACTGATGATGATGTTTTGTCGTCACCAAGTTCAAAGACATCTGCTAGGACCACATCAACATCCACATCTTTGTGTGTGCGTTTGATGCGTCCTCGAGCCTCGGTGAGGGGGTTTTCATTGATATCGGCTAGGATCACTGTTGTGCCCAAAGCCAAAGGGGCGTGTTCGATGAAGTGGCCTGTGCCGACACCAATGTCAAGCAGGCGGGGGCGGGGCACCGCAGAAAGGGAGCTGACGTGTTTGCTGTAGTGTCCCTGAAGAACATCCTCGGGACATCCCCAGGCGCGGGGGCAGATGAACCCAAGGACGAGGGTGTCGTAAAACCACTGGAGAAACAGTGGGAAGTAGATTGCGTTGCCGAACTCAGCTCTGCCCATGATGACGTTATGAGGATAAAGGATATTCTGTCAAGTCAAGAAACCGAACCAATTCTGTCAGAAGCTGCCTCGCAGTTATGTCGGAAACAAGTACAGTGGTGTTTGTGATGTGTTGTAGTCAGTCAGGTCGGATCCAAGTCGTGATGTGGTATTAAGTTTCGCCTGATACGAAACCGAGGCTCCGCTGCTGTCAATGCTCTCTGTGAACAAGGAGCTATGATCCATGTAACCCTCATAGTTCTGGAAGCCCACCTACTAGGTTAGGTATCTCTGCCGCGGAACTTACCAACTTGGAAGGAAGCTGAAGTTTAAATCCAGATGTTGTCTGATGTCGAAGACTGACGTGCCGGAAAGTGGGTGTTATCGGACTCAAGAAGCTCAGTCACAAACACTACTGCGCGAGTTTCAAACCTGACTGGACGACACTCGACTCTGGACGGTCGCAAAAGGGTAATGACTCGGACCGACTTGCATTAGTTCGCGGATGGCGGAACGCCAATCCACGCCAATCCACTCATAACAGTCAGTATAACGAAATCCGAAACTTCGTGAACGGCTCCAAGAAAGTGTCAAACCTTGCAAAGCGGCTGTGATATGCAATGGGACCGCGGCACTTGTGGCCGGCAGGCTATTCGGTTCCGTTCGCCGACGTCGTCGGCGTTTGTGATCGACGAAGCTGTCACAAATAACACTTCGTCATGAATATATATGATATCGGCGATGAATGAATCAGGTCGGCGTGGCGTCGTCGGCACTTGATCCAGGCGCCCTCAAGTTCAGAAAAGACAACATCAATTTTGACTTACATTCAGTAGTACCTAAGTGAAGTATACTTTACTGTCCATCTCTTCACTAGAGCAGATGCAGATCTTTGAACCAAACTGTCGGAGACTTTGAGTGAATCCAAGTCTAAACATGAACCCCAACATGGACTTCCCTAAATCGGAGCACACCCAGCCCATAGCCATCATTGGCCTGAACCTCAAATTTCCTGGAGATGCTACGTCACCGGAGGCATTTTGGGACATGCTACAGAATGCACGAAATGCTTCAACGAAAGTGCCGACATCACGCTTCAATGTCGATGCATTCTACCATCCAGATCCAGCTCGTCTGGACAGTGTAAGTCTGCTCGGTGCCTGTTTATAATACCCCAAGCTGATGGCTGTGATAGATGCGCGTTCCCAAAGCTCACTTCATGAACGAAGATCCTCGAGCTTTCGATGCTGCTTTTTTCAACATGTCTCCCGCGGAGGCGTCCATTCTGGATCCCCAACAACGCGGACTTCTCGAGGGGACATATCACACTTTTGAAAATGGTAAGTCACATCAAATACCGTCTTGGATCGCACCCATATCTGGAAATGTTGTCCAAGTCGACCAGTTACAGGCTCCATGAGGCTAACATTGCGCAGCCGGGTTAGCCATTGAACATGTAGCCGGGTCCCGAACCTCCGTTTTCTGTGCCTCTTTTGGTCGGGACAGCGACGCCATTGTAGCTCGTGATCCCGAGTTTCAGTCCAGATACCAGGCAACGTCGTCGGGCTCATCGATGTTGTCAAACCGCATCAGTCACTTTTTTGACCTTCGTGGGCCCTCTCTGACAGTTGATACGGCGTGCTCAAGCGGGTTGTACGCTCTGCACTTGGCTTGCCAGAGCATATTGACTGGAGAGTCCGATATGGGTCTAGTCTGTGGCTCGAATACCTACCTCACCCCTGAATGCATGAGCTTCCCACTCAGCAACGCCGGTTTCCTATCACCTGATGGACGTTCGCATAGTTTCGATCGCGAGGCCAACGGCTATGCCCGTGGCGAGGGATACGCCTTTGTGCTTCTCAAGCCTCTCAAAGCAGCACTCCGTGACGGAGATACCATTCGTTCCATAATTCGGGCCACAGGGGTCAACCAAGACGGGCGAACGCCGAGCATCACCCAGCCCAGCTCTGCTGCTCAGGTCGAGCTTATCAAGAAGACGTACGAGGCAGCCGGCTTGAGTCTTTCTGAGACCGAATATGTGGAAGCTCATGGCACGGGCACGCCAGTTGGAGACCCCATTGAGGCTTCTGCAATTGGTCAGGTCTTCCGGTCTCACCGGAATCGCCCCGTGTGGATCGGCTCTGTCAAAAGCAACATTGGGCATCTTGAAGGCGCGAGCGGGCTGGCAGGGTTGCTCAAAGCAGTATTCGCACTTGAAAACAGCGTTATACCGCCCATTGCAGATTTCGAAGAGGCGAATCCAGCGATTGATGTCGACGAGTTAGGTATTAGCTTCCCGACGAAGCCAACACCTTGGCCAGTGACGGAATCGGGGATCCGTCGGGCCTCGATCAGCTCCTTTGGGTACGGAGGATCGAATGCGCATGCCGTTCTGGATGATGCTTACAACTACTTGCGAACTCATGGCTTAAGTGGCCATCATCGCTCTGTGGACTCGTCTCGGAAGATCACCAACGGTACCTCAACCAACGGAGCTCACACCAACGGCACCGAACCCAATGGAAGCAAGGTCAACGGAAAAACTGAGAATGATAATGGCCAAGACGGTGGAGTTTCTACCAGCCACTGTGGTCTCTTGACATTCTCTGCCGCAGATGAAGATGGAACACACAGACAAGTCTCGACCCTAGAGAACCATCTCGCTCAACACCCCATCAGCTCAGCAGATGCCCTCGTGGACTTGGCACACACTCTTTCACGTCGCAGTCTCTTGAGTTGGCGCGCTTTCACTGTCGTCGAGTCGTCAGATGACCTCAAGTCTACACTCGGAAAATCCCTCTCACCAGTTGTCTTTGCTCTGCCGTCGAAAACCCCTGAGCTAGGCTTCGTTTTTACGGGGCAAGGTGCCCAATACTCCCGCATGGGTCTTGGCCTTCTACAGTATCCAGTTTTCCGTCAAAGCCTGCTCGACTGCAACGACTACTTACGATCCCTCGGATGCGAGTGGTCAGTTCTGGAAGAAATGCAACGGCCAATAGATTCCTCAACGATTCACAAGCCGGTGCTTTCCCAGCCACTTTGCACAGCTCTCCAAGTCGCCGTCGTTGATCTTCTTCGATCATGGGACGTCGTCCCTCAGTCCGTGTGCGGACATTCATCGGGCGAGATTGCGGCTGCATATTGTGCTGGTGCCATTGATCGTCTTTCTGCGTGGAAGATTGCCTACTTCCGAGGAGTCTTAGCCAAAAGGCTAGTATCTGACACATCGAGGGCCAAGACAACCATGATGTCCGTTGGCTTAAGCCAAGAAGATGTTCACCCTTACCTTCAAGATGGGCTTTCGATTGCCTGCGTCAACAGTCCTGTTAATGTGACTCTATCGGGACCAGTTGACGCCATCGAGAAGCTCCTGAGCAAGCTGGATAGCGAGGAAATCTTTGCCAGAAAGCTCTCAGTTGAAGTTGGATACCATTCAAAAACTATGGAGGCAGTCGCTGCGGAGTACCAACAAAAGATTCAAGACATTCATGCTCCGCCACAAGATGGCAACAGGGCCTCTCAAAAGCTGTCGTCGATTGCACTGTACTCATCCACGACAGGAGAGCTCGTGCCGCATCTCACGATGATTGACCCGGCATACTGGGTACGCAACTTGGTGTCGCCTGTTCTCTTTTCCAATGCTATCTCATCTATGAGCGAAGCCAAGCAAGGCGCACGTCAGTTCTTGGTGGAGATCGGGCCACAGTCCGCTCTGCGGCGCCCAGTTCAAGACACACTGAATCGCGTCATTGGAAAGACCTCCTCAGAGAAATGGCGATATTCCTGCGTTCTGAAGAAGGATGGAAACGATGTCAAGTCCCTGTTGGAAACCATCGGATCCATGTGGACAGCAGGCATCCCATTCAACTCGAGTAAATTGAACGCGGATTCAATCCAGCCCAGTCGTAAACCACGGCTGATGGTCGACCTTCCTGGATATCCGTTCAACCGCTCACGAGAGCTTTGGGAGGAAAGCCGACTAAGCCGCAACTATGCGAATCGACCTTACCGCCGCCACGCTCTACTTGGTGTTCGAGATCGAGATTGGAATACCGAGGAACCAAGCTGGAGACACTTCATACGATCGCAAGAGAATCCATGGATCTTGGACCACGCCTTGAATGGGTCTCCCCTTTATCCCGGCGCGGGAATGCTTGTCATGGCCATAGAGGCCGCACGACAACTCGCAGCTGCTGTGGAGTCTCGCATCGTTGGGTATCAACTAGACAACGTGCGTTTTCTCCGCGCCATCAACGTCAGTGACTCAGAACGAGGAACCGAGGCGAAGGTCGTGTTGCGGCGGCGGAGGCAAGCTACCAACACCAGCGGTCAGATGCTCTGTTACGACTGGCGCGTCTTTGGCACGAACGGCGACAACTGGGATGAGTGTGCCTACGGCAGTATCAAAGTTGAGTTGGAACCCGAGCAAGGTGTGACACCTGAGCAGGCGGCTCTCTGTGAAGCTCGCCGTGCTCGCTTCGCTAGCACCATCTATAACGAACTGCAAGAAGATGCGGAACAATGCCGTTTGAGTGTTCACCACAGCCAGCTTTACAAGAACATGTCGAGACGTTCTGGCTTTGACTACGGGCCGTACTTCCAGCTTCTCAGGAATATCGGGTACGACAGAGATGGCCATGCTACTGCTACTCTATCCCTGAGAGACTACACCAAGACGATGCCATTCGCCGGAGAAGATCCATGCGTTGTGCATCCAAGTACTCTGGACGCGATTTGCCATCTCCAGATGGTGGCGCTATCACAGGGTGGATGGTACGCCGTTCCCACCATGATGTTCTCTCACCTTCGAAAGCTTTGGGTGTCACATCAGCTTTTCCGTGCCCAGGACAACCCTCAACTCAAGGTCGCAACTCATGAGACCATGAGAGCTTTCAGAGAGGCGGAGTGTCGGACGACAGCCATGCTTGCTGAGACCTCCGAGCCCGTTATCATTTTGGATGGTCAGCGCGGCACCGCTATCTCAAGTTTGTCAAAGACGAACGCGGGCATTGGCTCTGACAAGGACTCCAAACAGTTGTTCTACAGTCTTGATTACAAGCCAGATCTGTCGCTTCTGACTGAAACTGAAAAGAGCAAGTACCTCACCAACGCCTTCGAGCAAGATCCTCGGTGCAAGGCCCCGGATAAAGGAATAATTGACCGCGCCGACGCCATTGCACTTCATTTCATCGAAGCCGCTCTGAGCGAGATTGATCAAGATGACCAGGCCACCAAGTACGATGGTCATCTGGAGCGTTATATGGCATGGATGCGCCGAGTTCGTCAGAGCAGAGAGAAGTGGACGCTGGAGTCTCGAGGACTCGGCGGCTTGGATATCCAGGATATTCTGGAGGAAGCTGACTCTGAGCCCACGCAGAGGCTTACCAAGAAAGTTGGCGAGCATCTGAACCGCATCTTGAGAGGAGAGGAGAACGCCCTGCAAATCATATTCGAGGGCAATCTGGCAGATGGTAAGCACGTCAAAATGAGCAACCTTGACCCCTGAGTGTGCTGACCAACACACCACAGAATTCTACCATTCAAACATCTTTTCAACCAATAATAGCAAGATGGGTGCCTATATGAACATCCTGTCTCACGCGCAGCCAAATATCCGCGTGTTAGAGGTTGGTGCTGGCACGGGGAGCTCGACTGGTCGGATCCTCCCATACTTATCGGTGGATGGGGAAGAATGGGGTCCTTCCAAACCTGTTCGGTAGGTTATCAACCTTTGATACACTTTATTGTGTATTTCGAAGTATTCTCGGAACTTTACTCACACAGCCAATAGCTTTGGCGAGTATGTCTACACGGACGTGTCAGCCGGCTTCTTCGAGAAAGCCCGCGAGCGTTTCTCCTACGCCGCAGACCACATGACATTTCGAAAGCTCGATCTCGAACAAAACCCATTCTCTCAAGGCTTCGAAAAGGCAAGTTACGATGTTGTTGTTGCGGGTAACGTTCTCCACGCAACAAGCGATTTGATCCAGACCCTTCGATACGTTCGAAGCCTCCTGCGCCCTGGCGGTGTCCTCATCCTTGGCGAGACGGTGAACCTCGACAACGTTCGCGACGGCCTCATCTTTGGTCTCTTGCCTGGCTGGTGGCTGCGAGACGGGCAGTGGTGGTCTACGAATGAGGAGTACCAAGATCAAGGCCCTCTGTTGACCGAAAAGCAGTGGGATGTCGTCCTACGTGAAGCTGGGTTCCCCGGAGTCCAGATGACGTTCAGGGATCATGAAGAAAAGCCGCATCATCGTGTGTCAGTCATGATGACCTCAAAGGTTGAAGACGAAACCACAAGCGAAGATTACGTCAACGTTGCGCCTGATCAACCATGCGAAAGCTCAAGTTATGGAATTATTATTTATCCATCATCTGACATCCAGAGAGTTGTTGCTGAGACGCTTCGGGAGACTCTTACAAAGGAATTGGAAGTTCGCGCACCAGAAGTCATCAACATGGACGATATCCTCTCAAACACCACCCAGCTTCGAGACAGGATCATCGTCAGCCTTCTCGAGCTCGAAGGCTCCATCCTCAAAGACATTTCCGAGCCTACCTTCGCCGCCACCAAGAAGATCTGTCTCGACACCAAATCAACCCTCTGGGTAACTCGCGGCGCCAGCCCCAACGCATCAGTTCCCGCGTCAGACATAACTACAGGCTTTGGGCGAAGCGTCTGCTCCGAAAGAGGCGACCAAAACTTCACAACCCTGTCCTTGTCCACGAGTCCCACGGCCATCTCCATCCCGACCATCGTCGACCACATCACCCACGTCCTCAAGCATCACCGTCCAGGTCTTGACAACGAATCTGAGTTCTCAGAAACAGCAGACGGCATTCTCTGCATCCCACGTCTCACCCCAACCTCACACCTCGAGCAAACCCTCTCCCGACGCCACAAGTTTCCAGAACCCAAAACCTACAACACCATCACGCCTACCCCAGCCAAGCCTCACATTTCGGCAAGTATCGAAACCCCAGGTCTCCTTGACACACTATTCTACGCCGAGTCTTCCCAAGATTCTGGCGATCTAGCCGACGGCGACGTCGAGATCGAGATCAAAGCAACATCTCTCAACTTCAAAGACGTCATGATCGCCCTCGGCCAGATACCGGGGCGCTCCTTCGGGTTCGACGGCGCGGGCATAGTCTCTCGCACCGCGCGAAACAGTGCCCTCCGCCCCGGCGATGCTGTCCTCTTCTGTTCGTCCAAGGGCGGTGGCTTCGGCACATTCGTGCGCTGCCCGGAGCTCCAGACGGAGAAGATCCCGCAGGGGATGAGCTTCCATGTCGCGGCGGCGATACCAGCTGTCTGGTCGACGGCGGTGTACTCGCTAGATCACATCGCAAGACTGCAGAAGGGGGAGACGGTGCTGATTCACTCCGCCGCGGGTGGCGTGGGACAGGCTGCTGTGCAGCTCGCGTTGCTGAGGGGCGCCGAGGTATTCGCGACAGTGGGAAACGAGGCCAAGCGGCAGCTCGTGAAGGATCTGTTTGGGTTGAATGATGACCACATCTTCAACAGCCGCGACGATACCTTCGCCGAGGACGTTCTTCACGCTACAAAGAACCGCGGCGTGGATGTTGTCCTCAACTCGCTTGGCGGCGAGCTGCTCAGGCAGTCGTGGGAATGCATCGCGCCCTTTGGACGGTTCATCGACATTGGCAAGGCGGACATCATCGCGAACAACACGCTACCCATGGGCCCATTCAATAAGAACGTCACGTTTTCCTCGGTGGACCTTGTGGTTGTCCACGAGGAGGCGAAGCCGCTGATGAAGAGGATATTGCAAGATGTCGTGCGTCTCTTTGAGGAGCATCCAGGGCTGGCTGAGCCTAAGCCGCTGCACGTATTCTCCCCGTCGAAACTTGAGGAGGCTATGAGGTTTCTTCAAGGGGGCAAGAACACCGGTAAGGTTGTGATTGATTTTGATGCGTCTGACGAGGTCATCTACCGGCCTTCGCCACAACCGGGAATGAAATTTAGGGGTGATGCGACGTATATTGTCAGCGGTGGGCTGGGTGGTTTGGGCCAGGAGATTGTGAGGTGGATGGTCAGTCGTGGAGCGAAAAATCTGCTGCTGCTATCATCTCGCGGAGCCCAGGGGCGAGCGGACGCGATGAAGTTCATCAACGAACTCGAAGGCACCCACGAGGTCAAGATGCTCGCACCAGCATGCGACATAACCAACCGCGCCCTCCTCGCCGAGACGCTTCGCCAGGCCAGAGAGACCCTCCCCCCGGTCAGAGGCTGCATCCAAGCAGCGATGCTCCTGCGCGACGACATGCTCGCCAACATGTCCGCCGCCACCTTCCACGCCGCCCTCGACCCGAAATACCTCGGCTCCCAGAACCTACACGAGCTGCTCCCCCCGGACCTGGACTTCTTCATCATGCTGTCCTCCTTCTGCGGGATCATGGGCAACCGCGGCCAGAGCAACTACGCCGCCGGAAACGCCTTCGAGGACGCCCTCGCGCGGCACCGGGTCGCGCGCGACCTCAAGGGCGTGGCCGTCGACCTGATGCTGGTCGCCGAGGCCGGGTGGGCCAACGTCAACTACGAGTCCGTCACGCAGAGCCTGCGGGCCGGCCACGGCGGTCTGACGCAGGCGCAGCTCATGGCTTTGCTGGAGATGCTGTGCGACCCGGCGTACGACTGCTCGCGGCCCGGGGCGGCGCAGGTTGTGAATATGGTCGACAGCCCTGCGGAGCTGGCGCGGATGACGGGGTTGGGGCTGTTGGACTGGATGCAGAAGCCGATTTTCAACAATCTCTTGCGCATGGGCGAGACGGACGACAGTGACGCGGCCGGCGGGCGCCGGGCAGCTGGAGATGATAAGGGTGAAGAGGTTGATTATCTTGGTCTTGTCAGGACGGCGGCGAACTTGACTGCGGCAGGAGAGGTTGTCACACAGGGCCTGGTGCAGAAGCTGGGAAAGAGCTTATCTGTACCGGCCGAGACACTTGATGTTGGGAAGCCTGCGTATGTTGTTGGCGTGGACTCGCTGATTGCGGTCGAGGTGAGATACTGGTTCATGAAGCGGCTGAATGTTGAGGTGCCCGTGTTTGAGATCTTGAAGAACCAGAGTATCACGGAGTTGTGCCAGCAGGTTGCGTCAAAGGTTCTTCAGGGGACAGCTAAATAGGAGTCCACATCTACAATGCGTGCTAGGATGTATTTTCTTTATTTCGATGCTAGAAAAGATGGAAACATTCGTAGAAAGAGATAGACTAAATTTACAGTCCTATTGCTATTACGAGACGCGCTCAGAGATATTCGCTCGTCTCTTGACGCTCCAGAAAGTCTCAACAAGCCTAAGCTTCGTAGTTCAACACGCGCCAAGTTGAAAGAGGAAGACCATGCATCTCTGCTACCGAAAGGCCCCTAGAAGGAGTCGCTGTCGTCTCTGTCGTGTCCTGTCGTGATGTAAGAATCTGCCACCAGACCTCCCCCTTTTGCAAGCCTAATCCGTCCGCAGCATGCAGCAGATACCCAACATCTCTCTCAGGTCATTACATTGCTTACACCGAGCTTTCGAACTCCCAAAACAAACGTCGAGCTAGCCGATCCTTCTCGATTAAGAATGTTTCTCCCCGTCGAATGACGATCATCCATCCCCAGGCGCATCACTCCTCCCAAACCGGGCGACCTACCACACACGACGTCGAAAATGGTGTTGTAGTATCCCAATATCACCACGGAAGAACCCGCGCTGACAGCCCCTACTCCCTCTGGAAACTAGACGGCGCGTTTCGCCCGTGGAGGCGGGCTGCTGTCGGCAGGGTGCCTACAGCGGGGTGTGTCATTGACCCAGACTTTACACGTCTTTGGGAGGAGCCTGGCCAGACAGCTTCGGGTCAGGAGGGGATGCCGCTTTTTCAGATGAACGTGATCGACGTCAAAGTTTCAGCTTCCTAATGAAATAATATCGGGTGCCTTGGCAGCGACGTTGGGACGCTTGGAGGATCCTCGGAAGGGATCTCCCTCAATGTCGTGGGGGGCGAATGGTATGTTGATATTGAAGGGACTGAGCCAGTTCGGGCCTATGGATGGACTGACGGTGTTTGAAAAGCGGGAGGCAAGTGGCAAAGGCTGGAGGAGCCATGCTTGGTCACTGAGAGAGAATCGTTCACGCGTGCTGGTCATGGAGGACGTGGATCCAGGCACGGAACCGTTTACATCATGGTGTAAGATCTCAAGCTCTTACCATTCAAGTTGTATACGAGCTCCGAGAAGCATCCCAAATCTCCCACTGCAAAGTGAGCGCACAGCTAAGTCGCACGTCAGAGCTGGCCAGCTAACTTCCCCGCAAAACCGCAGCCCTAGACATCGGCAGTCTGCTGCAAATGCCGCAGGATGGCCGGTCAAATTGGAACACAAGACGGAGGATGGCCTCAAATAGGACAGCGTCAGATGCTCAAGGGCGCAAGTGTGTGTGTTTTCAACGTTCTGGTAGGGAAGCGCGGCTCGACGTGCCGTGGGAACGGTGGTATGTGGACTTTGGTGATATGGAAAGCCCTCGTGCCGTGGGCTGTCATTCCTGCACCTATACCGCGTTGATGGGGCTGCGAATTCGGACAAGCCAATGCTTCGAGCCTGTCGCATCCCCCCTCCAGATGGGTTGGTTGATGGCCTTGTAGATGCGGGCAGGGTAGCATACCATCTATGCATATGTGTGTGTGTATTTACTCCTGCCGCTGGTTATGTTCCGAGTTGACCGAAAGATCGACCCACACCTTCAGAAAACAATGCCTTCACTTCCCACGTCCACAGCCTGTATCACGCAGGTGATCCCTCCATACTATATGCAAGTCGTGGACAAACAGATGCAGGTCCCTGGGCCAAGACGGAGGCCGCAGCCGTGAAGCCTACATTCGACCGTGAAGTCGACCTTGGGGTTGTGTCAGCCCGCTTCACTCACACGATGTGACTGGAGTTGAACAATTTGCCATCGTACGTACACGATCAGTCAGTGATATTGGCGTCATTATGTGACTTGGCGGTGGGTGGCTTCGCTTGCTAGCTTTGGTCCGTAAGTGAAGCTTTTAATAGACACTCGAAATTCGATACCACTTCGGAGTGCAAGAAAGAGAATGTTCGTTGTTCAAATAGACCTGGCATGCATAATGACAGCTCCAATAGGGCGTGGCGACAAGCTTTAGCCGGCACTTGGATGTCAACCTAATCTTTTCTCCTATGTTCCGAGTTGACACCCAATTCTGCAGTTCGTAGCGTGCAAGACAATATCGAATGTGTCAGGACGCGTCCACTTTGCGCCCACTTCATGTTTTCTGACGAGTGTATGGATGCTGTCTCTTCTTCTGGGACACGTGACGTTTTTTTTATTTTAGGCCACTAACCTTGAGTCGTTGACTTGCTACAGTTGCGAAAAAAAAGGAGGCCTTCGTGTCGAATAGTCGGCTCAACTGAAAGCCTTCGTTCATTTGCAACTGTCTTATGGGCTCTGTCCTCCGAAAAGAGTAAGTCCATTGACGAAGAGCGACATTCCTCATTTCAATCTAACGAATAAGATGTTTGTCAAATAGTCGGCCTCCCTGGCATGACGATGTTCATGGGACTTGTGTTTCCTGATTCTTGACCAGAGAAGTAACGACGTGGCGGACCCTCCAAGATCAGCGTCTTAGCGGGTCACGAGAGGGGCATCCTCCCTCCTCAGCTGTAAGCTTGCTGCATCCCATCCGACATGCATCGGCGGCTAGGAAAACTCCCCGACGATCCACTAAGAAGGAGAGCATCTTGCCGGGCCCGGAAGGTCGGATGGAGGTAGACCTGCGCCGTTGACGGGGAGGGACCTGCCCCCACGGCAAAAGATTCCAAGCGCATCTGTCATTTGATTTTGATGCTCATTGTGAAAGCATACATCAACAGACATGATTGAAATTAATCTCCACGAGACCAGCAGCCTCTCGGCCGTAGTCCGGCTTGGAAGACAGGCGTCTAGCGAGTGAGGACACTGTTGGACAACAGTACGGATTTAGCTTGTCTGGTGGAACGACGGTCCACCTGCCGAAGCCCCCAACGCACCCCAACTCGGCCATGTGTTGGTTGAAGGGTCAAGACCAGCCGGTAATAAGACTGCAACTTCGCCGCGAAAAGCAGAGCCAGACGCAGTGCATCCTCTAGACTGCGACCCCGGACTGGGAACTCGGAGATCCACCTCAACATCCGCCGTCACTTGACCGCAGCTCAACACGGGGAGACCTGGCCGTCAAGCCTTGTCGGGAGCCCAATGGACCACTCCAAAACCAATGTCACGGCGGCTGAGAAGCGTGTCGTCCAACAGGGTGCTCATCCTCTTTTCGTGTCTTGTTGGTTCAGAGGATTGATGCGACGACGATGGTCAAGCCAAGACGGCAGAAGAAGCTGAGAACCAGGATAGGAGGGGCTTCAGCGCGCCGTCTCGTATTGATCAACTGAAGGCTTCGAGTCTCGACGGGCCGACCTGAAGCAGCTCGCCCTTGCACTGATTTCGTCTGAGAATTGACGCGGGGAGACTGAGATTATTCGGTGAGGCCACAATGACCAATGAACGGTGTAATCGAATGCTCGCCTGAACCCTCGCTACTAGCTGGGTTCTGGATAGCCAAACTGCCTGGGGCAGGACTCTTGTTGGCCACGTGGAGCTGATGGGCGGACGGAACGGGACTTGTCCCGCCGAAGCAACGTAGGTACGAAACGAAAAGGAGATGTAGCATCGGCCATTATTTAGACACGACCGGCAACGCTCTAGACTAAGAGAAGGTATTGACAGAGTCGAGACCTACTGCAATGTCGTCACATCCAAGCGCCTTTGGCCAGGTGCCGGAGATTGACGACGAGCTTGGATGAACGACGACTTAGAGACCTGGTACACACTGTTATGGAAGGAGCCTCTCGAGAAGGCTTCCTCAGTGGCTTCATAGCCTTTCGAATGCAAAGACATCTGGTTGATGGTGATGAGCACTCTGATCATAAACGTCGATGACTTGCGTGGCAGGATCTGAGCCACTCCGGGGTTGGCATCTACCGCTCGCTGCTGTCTCCGGATCCATCAGCCCGGGGGTTTGACTGACTGATGAAGTTGGGATTTGGAGCAATTTGAAGATGTGGATGAGTTGGGGTAGAACAGGGGTTGTCGATTGGTTCGTGGAGTAACGAGCGCGGGAAACCCACGAATGAGAACCGCGTTCGCGGTACGCCGTCAGATCTTTCCAAATCTTGGAGTTTCGGACCGACGACCGTTATGGCATGGCGCCACGCGCGACGCCATTTTGCATTTTGCCTAAATACCTCGTGGCACACTGGGCAACCTAATTTGGTGGTGCCATCACCCTCTGGGTGCAGTCAACGAGCCGCCACTGTTTCCTCGTTGTCTTCCACGGTAATGTGTATGCAACGGTCGGGTATGACGAATGTTATTCTAGATGAATAGATGATTCAATCAGGCTCGGGGCTTGCCTCTCGCTCCTAGCCATCAGCTTGCCGGAAAGGGTGGGCGAGAGAAGTTGACCGAGGTTATGTGGTACAGATTACGACCAAGGACGGCTCGGAAAGCTTCGCGAAGGAGCCGTAAAATTCGCAAAAATTGTGTGTGCGCTTGTCGGTACCGAGGCACCGCGGTTGGTTTGGTGCACATTGACAAATATGCTGGCCACCGCGGCACAGGACAACGTCGTTGTCGAGGTCGATGGAGGCGGCATGAAGCCATGGCTGCAAAAGTCCTCCAGAAGCCCCACCCGCACTCTGTGACTTGGCTCTTCGCCCTCCCGTCATTCTGAGTGCCCCAGGCCGATGACGGCAAGGAGCGTCGGCCTCAGTTAGGGTGTTGTTGGTACTTGGTAAGTAACCCCTCAGAATCGACAGCCATTAGCAAGCAAGGATCTCCTGGTAGCATCTGTGAAGGCGGAATGACCCAGCCTCACGCTCTGAAGGCGTCGTAGCAGGCGAGTACTTGTCACAGAGCCCAGAAGCCTGTCTTTCGTAGCACGCATAGGCATGGCGGATTGAAGAGACAAGATGACCGCCGACTGACGACTTGGGCTTGGTATATGATGCTCCTTCGTACGAATCTCGGAAAGGACCGAATGGGACTTTTTGGGGGGCGGACTGTGGGATGACTCGACGAGGTGTGGGAGGTGAGGAGGT